TGATCCGAGTGTAATTTGAGATCGTAAATGAAACACTTGCTACTGAAAGTATTAATGGGGTGCAGGATGATACTCTTACCACCAGGGAAAGACCTCAAATAATGCATCACAACACTCAGATCATGTGTCAGTGTTACCAAGTATCAAACAAGCTTCTACTGCTTTGCATAAAAATAAACACCTGAACTTTGATTCTCAGATTATTTTATATTATATGAATTATTTAGAATTACTTATGTGAAAATATGTGTTATAAATTGGCATGTGAACAGGAATTAGGCCACATCCATGTCACAGATTCTGATGTGGAATGAAATGTGCTTTCTCTCTCACACATACTCTCAAATAGCGTGCATACGCATTCACATATTAACACCGTGAAAACAAATGCTTTAGTCATAAATGCTTTCGAGCTTTAAACAATTGGACGGTTCACAAGATCAGTGGCAAATTTCTGACTCATAGCTGTGGTTTACTGCCTCACTGAAAGGCAGCATTTTAGACTGAGTACAGGAATCTGGGCATATTTTGTATTGTGTCATTTACAATGTGCGACTTACCTTTTACCAAATCACATTCTTTATGAGCATGGAAAATGCAGGAATTGATCCCAGATCAGCTTTGTGTAAATACTAAAGCAGGGCAGGTTATAGGAAATAGGCTATGAACCCATCATCACTGTTGATAGTAGGGGTGTAACGATATTTGAACCGAACCGAAAAACCGCGATACACCACCCACGATTCGTATCGCGATACTCTCACGCCGAACCGAACACGCCCCGCCCCCTGCTGCCCCGCTCCAGCCCCGGCTTATTGCACCTCATGTGTTATGTGTGTACACAACGAATACAGGGCTGTTGCCTAACCACCATTAACCACATATAATCGCAATAAGCTCAGTGTTTTGTTACTTTTGATAATAAGCAAGGTGTAATCTTTCAAATTATGTCTATTTGATCACGAAATGCAAACAAAAAAATGCCGTTTTGGCGCTCTTAGATGTGGCGTGACAGATATCACTGTATGCATGCGGCAGCGCGGAGCGCGATCATCTCTTCCTCAGTTACAGAATAAACATGAATGGACACCCGAAGGTATGTTGAAAGATACAGTATACTTACTGAAAGGCATCATAACTCGTGTAAACACTCAATCAGTGTTTCAACAGCGGAAATACGTCAATAAAACGCTTAGTTTTTCACATAGCTTTATATTTACCTCAGGCAAGTCATTCAGTGTCCACAGCTTGCTGGTTTGCTAACTCTTTCACTAAATAAATGCTATATATTAGCCTATATATTATATTTTACTTAACCTGTTTATGATATCTTGATTATTTAATGTATGTTTAAAATAGTTGTCATGAAAATAACAGCAACTGTGTAAATTATTATATAACATTAACAAATTAGAGTAAAAACATGTTAATGCAAAAATTGCCTTATGTGCAGTTTACATGTTTTCATACAATTTGTTATTTGAGTGTTGATTATTATTATATCATTTAGCCTAAAAGTCTAGGCTCTGTTGTTAAGCTTTAATGTTATAGTAATGTGCAAGTAAGGGCTGTAGTTTACAGCATTAGCAGATAATTTTGTTATCCTTGAGAAACGTTTACTTGTAATGGAATTAATTTAAAGACAAGGACACAATTTGTTCATTAAAGCACTGTTTAATAAAATATAAAAGCAATTTTAGCTTTCTAAACCCCCCCACCCCACCGAAATGAACCGAACCGAACCGAACCGAGACCTCAAAACCGTGGGATGAACCGAACCGTCAGGTTTGTGTATCGTTACACCCCTAGTTGATAGAATCAGCACTCAAGCTATTCTGTACACCTGCGCATTGCTTCGAACTGGGGCCGACAGATGGTTGAGAAAACCCTCAAGCCAAAGTCCCAGACCGGATACAGGCAGGTCTCTGAGCCTCCAGTCAAACTCTCAGTGAGTCATGTCATTGGAAAGAGATGTAAAGGGAAGACTCCATTGTCATTGCTGGTCGCTGACATGCTGCTGGCTGCTACATGTCTGCACATCTGCTGGGGCAGACCCGCCAGAAAAGTGTCTATGAGTCCGTCTTTGGACAGAATTATGCCTGAGGTAGCCCATAAAACCCAGGAAGTGACATAACCTTTCCACAGCACAGCAAATGGGACGACAAATAAATAATCTTATTCCATTTTCTCGATTTCCATACCATTCAAACATTTTACCAAAGTGATTGTAAGAAAAATGACCAAACTTTTATTTTTGTTTAAATTATGGGAAATATAAATGTATCAATAATATTACAAACCAAGCTAGCTAGTGTGCTTAATTTAGGCTAAATTTGCAACCTGTTAAACAGTCTGTCATTTTTCTTTCTTAACCCTCTGGGCTTCTTCGGTCAAAAATGACCGAAACAGTATACGTTTTGAAATGTTTAATTTTTTTGCTTCATCGGAGGGGGATGAAACTTGGTGACTTTTGTTGTATTACCTATGTGAACACACAAAAAAATCAAGGAGATGATTCGGATATGTTAAAGGGTCTTAAAAAAAATAGTCACACTTAGCTTCCTTTCGGTCAAAAATGACCGACATAGGAAATGAATGGGAAATACGAAAAAATAGGAAAACTCAGAGAAACTTTTGGTGGTACAAACTACAGATCAGCCACTGTGCAGAAAAAAAGTGTACAGCAATGAAGGGGTGACACTCTAAAACATCAAGAGTGCAAATAAGACACCTCCCCCCCCACACACACACACCCACGCACACAAACACTTACACACAGAGAAATGAATAGGAAAGACTGTTAACAGCAAATGTTGAGAAAATGCTAAATAAAATCAAAAATTAAAATAAAGTACAAAAGATAGGCTACTCTTTCTCGCTCAAATGCACACACACACACACCTCATCATGTCTAAAACAACAATATGAATCAAAAAGCCTTTCTATATATTTATATAGGAAGCCTACAGGCGGTTACGGACATTACACACATTTATACATTTTTACTTATCTAAAAAAAAAAAAAAAAAAAAAAAGTAGTCTTTTAGCATATCTAAATATATATCTAAATAAAAAAAAACGAATAAGAGAGAGAAATCATGTCTAAAACAGCAATAGGAATCAAAAAGCATTTCTATGTATTTACATAGGAAGCTATGGGCAGCCTACAGGCGGTTACGGACATTACACACTTTAAAACATTTTTAAAGCCACTGGATGGGTATTCTCACTTGAATTTTTTTTTGCCTGCTGCCAGCATTATATTTTAATGTGTCACGTTGAGTTATTTGAAAAAAAAAAATTTATATAATAAAAATAAAATTCTAATGGAAAAAATAGCTCGTAAAAATTATATAAATAATGCAAAGTATCATAAAAATCTTTAAAAATTCTAAATAATAATAAGAAAATATTATTGAACAAAAATATATTTGAATGGTTTTCCTGGGGGGGAAAAAAGTTACATTTTAAGGCTTCAGTCTTTTTTGACCGAAAGGAAGCCAAGTGTAACCCCTAAACAAAGAAGCCCAGAGGGTTAAATTTTATATATTATGTATTCTATTTTTTACACAAAAATAGCAGAATTAAAATTGTATTTAGATGTTTCAAATTTTGCTACAACAACAAAAATATATATTTTTTAAATTCCTTATGATTGCATTTAGGTATGGTTGTGACATTAGGTTTGGAGAGCCAAATAATCTTGAAGCCTTTGGCTATAAGTTAAAAAAAATTTTTTAAATAAAATGAAGTATTATGAGTTAGATGAAAGAATCATTTTAGTTCTAACTGTGTCTCATAGTTTCCAAATGACATGACACAATAGGTCTATGATATGTTTTCTGTAAATGCCAGAAAGACTTGTGCTTCCCGAGTTGGAAGAAATTCAGCCCTTTCTGTCAGTACCCTCATTTGTTACTCTCCCGAGTCCCGCCCTGTCAGGGTCATCAAATGACAGGACTTTACCCCTCTGAGGTCGTGAGAAGTACGTCTGGCCAGAAAATTCTATACAATATGCTAACTGTGCATCCCTGGGTGTGATTCTGTTTGGACTGCTCATGTTGTGGTTAATATTTTACAGTTCCTTAGAAGGAATGAAACTCTGAATTGTGTTTTATGTGCTTGGTTGAAACTGCTGTTTGAGTATCACTGCTGACTCGAGCTGTTCAGATGCCACAGAGGCCTCATAGACTATTGGCTTCGACAAGACCGAAGACAATTGGTCTTTCATGCAGCCAGATGACAGAAATAAATTATATTATCCTTACAGAAACAGTAAAAAAAAAAAAAAAAAAAAAAAAAGTAGCCCGTATTTACTTATTTAAAAAAAAGTATTTTCTTCATGTCTGAAATCTTTTCATGAAATTAATAAAATGTTATGCCAATTAATTAACTTAATGATAAGAAAAGCGCCCAAATAAATATAATGACAACAAAGGTAAAGTCACTGGAGTGAAGAAGAGGAAGCAAAAACATTTTTAAATACTTTAATATTAAATAATAGTAAAATAATTGTATTATATTAAATAATATAAAAATAATAATGTCATGAATTGACGTAATACTGTAAAATATTTTTATATTTATGAATATTTATATATTTCTTTAGTATTTAATTTAAATATGCTCTCAGTAATGTCAAGACATATCTTCATAAAGATAAAAAAATGTATCATAAAGCAAATATGGAATTTAATTTTCAAAATACACATGCGTGCTTGTGTGTATGTGTGTGTGTGTGTGTGTGTGTGTGTCTGTGTGTCTCTCTGTGTATATATATAATATATATATTAAGACTTCAGACTGGGACAGCAAAATCTGACTGTCATACTTATAAAGTGACTATTCTAATCTAGGCAGCTGAAGAACATATAATGGGCATGACCTCGTACAAGCCCCGCCCTCTGTCCTAGAAAGTCCTATTGGTTGGATTGAAAGAGGGCGGGAACTCACCTCTCACAGTTCCCTCCCAGTTCTAAATGAAAGCCCATTGTGGAATGCACACATTCTCTCTCTTACATGCTTATACTCACACACCCTCACGTATGTTCACCCAGGTCCTCTCTTCTTCCTGTTTTTCACAAGTTCCTGCCTTTATGGTGACGCTAGTGTTGTCGCAGGCTGGAAGGAGTTCAAGCTTCCCATGAATCCCTTGTTTAGGATTCCTAACTATAGGGCTGCGCTAAGGAAAGCTGAGAAGAGAGTTTTGAAATCTCACAACACGTTTGTTGTGAAGACCGAGCTGACCATGCTTTGGAGCTCATTTCCTAGGTGTAGCTGACGTTGGGGGGTTGTAAATTTGGCTTGGGAGGAGGTGAAAGCAGGGGGTGGAAGAGGAAACCCCATTCACACACAGATCAGAAGCACTCTGACACGCTGAGCAGAGAGAGCCTCCTCTAGTCCTTGGGGACGACTAGCTTCACAACCTTCTCCTGATGGAACCCTAAACATTCCCAGGATTCCCAAAAGCTGCTGAAACACCCTCGGAAGAGGAGATTTGGTTTAGTTATGGAATCACTGAGGGAATCTATTCTTCATTTGACCTTTCAGATGTCTAGTTACAAACGGGCCACACTGGATGAAGAGGAGCTGTTGGACACCGGCTCGGATGGGATCTACCACACCTCTACCGTGCCGGTGAGAGTTTATTTCTTTAACTTTTTTTTATAACTTATGCTTCTTGATGTATGTGTATTGAAAAAACTAGTGATCCGTTTGCTTGATTCTTTACCAAACGTGTTTGGTTAAAGTTACTTCCTCATGCTTTTCATTTCAAACATCCGCTGTGTGTTAGCACTGTTGTATACAACTTTCTTCTTATACTGTTAAAAGCTTTTTTTCCCCCAGAAGTGTGTCTTCTATTTGTTTACACTACTGTTTACATTTAATAAGTACACCATTTTTGGGGTAAAAGTCAATACAAATGCTAGCTAATTTTTTGCTTTGCATTGAAGCTCAAGTAAAACAATGTGCATGAACATTTAGAAATTATAAATGGTACTTGATATAATGATAGTTAAACAAGATTGATGATTTGGAAGGAATGTATTAGATTATAAATTCAGCAAAAAACTGTAATATTGTGAAATATTATTACAATTTAAAGTAAAAAAAAAAGTGGAAAGTAAGTAAGTTTAACAAGTGGAAGTCCAAATATGTTCTGGTCTTTTGTTTCTCGAACCAGAAATTCATTATCCTTTGACCGTTCCTAAAACATTTTCTCTGGATCATCGAGAGTATTAAATGTTCTGGGTGCCTTTATTGAAAACATTTCACTCTCTTTGTTTTACTTTCTCCCTCTGCTCTCTTTTGGAGAGAGACCTGAGTTTGACATTTGGGGCTCATTGAAGCCACACAAAACATACGAACATGCATGTTACAACTAAGCTGAGTAATTGCACAGATGGGCAGTTGGCCACTAAAAGTGACTTTTGAACTCTGTGAGCTCAGTAGGACTTAATCTGATTGGTATTACAGAGATCATTTATTAAGTTTCTCTTGCACCTCTTCTGCCAAGAGCTGATCAAATATGAAATCCTCAAGCCTTATTTGATCAGTACAGAATAAATGAAAAGAGAATCAAGTTTATAGCTTGAAATTCATAGCCCATTGAACAGCAAATATGTCTATAATGTGGATCGTATGGTCTTGATAATTTTGCATAGGAGGTATACAATGAAATTCTTCTGACTTTGGTATCTAAAACTAGAGTTTGGGTTATTGAGATCTTCTGAAACTAAAGGAGGCGTGCTAAAGGCTTCATTTGATGTCATTACTGTCTGAGAAAAACATTTGAGATATTAAAAAGATCTAGTTATGAATATTTCTTTCCAGCGGTTAGGTTTTGAATTGCACTGTGTTTGGCAGAACAGTGTTCAGACTTGGCAGTCTTTGAAGAGAGCGGGGCAGACTAACTTTTTTTACTAGGAGCGCTGGAGCCCCTGACTGAAATTTTTAAGAGCGCAAGCAGAAAATTTAGGGGCACACCTTAAATCAGCTTGCAATGCAATTATTCAAATTTCCCCCAAAATAACTGTAATACTGACACATTCTTTAATAATAAATAGACTTAACGTACAGATATTACAATGTGTAGTTTTATTTTAAGTTCACAGGGCTCCAGACTAACATTTGAGGGCAGCAGCACCAGAGCCACTGAATTCTACAAAAAAGATCTGGTAGCACTGGGGCTGGCAATAAAGCTCTAAACTTAATTTAGGGTGTAGATGAAATTAACTTTAATTATTATCATTCATAATGTCTTAATATTAATTAAAAAGCAAAACGAGTGAAAAAATTTATATTAGGGAGTGAAAATAGCTAATAAGCAAAAAGCAACCCACTTGTTTACAATGGTAATTTAAATTATTATAATTTTTTAAAATTAGAGTTTTTCTACATCTTAAATTTTTTAGTTTTAGGACAATCTTTGAAGGATGAACAAAAAATGTGTTGGTCAGGTCATCACATTATAAATATTATTTGATAGTTTTGAAGTGCTGGAAAAAGATGTGTAGTACTTGTAAAGGTGATACACGGAAACTTTTTGAGCAATGTTGCTGGGCAATCTTGCCGAGCGATTGTTGCTTGGGCACTTTCCCATTGAAAATGGGCAGTAAATTTCTATCAGGATTGTTTAGATCGGTCGTGGGCCCCCCCTGTGTCTCATCTGGTGGCAACATTGCTCAAAAATTACCCTGTGTATCATCACCTTAAGTGTTTGACTATTTCTGTCACAATACCATAGTTATGGTTAGAGTTACTACATGCTGATAACTGTTCCTGCTGTTCCTGGTTCAATACCAGTTATTCTCTGTGAATGGCATCTGTGCTATGGTGTCGATTACCACAGAAAATAATTGTGGTTACAGTAACACACTTACTATGAAAGTAAAGCAGACCAGCTTTCCAGAGGGTTTAAAAGCAGAAATTTGAAGCTCATATCATAGTTTTGTTGCACAACTTGCATGATTTTTTTTTGTGAGATCATCCTTTCAGGATTTTTTGAGGTGTGAATATGATCTGTGTTTTGAATTGGAGCAGAAAGACACCTGAAATAAAACCTGCACCATTTCATACCAATATTTACCAGTACCAGATTAAATACGTATCACTTTTTTAACACAAATAATCATATTCTCACCCTTGAGGATTGCTTCTTTGCCAATGATCACTCCTTTGGAACAGGTTTCAGTGTTATTTGCGTCATCTATGTATCATTGCTGATTTGAAGGGATAGTTATTTCAGTCGGCTCTTAACCCTTATTCTCTGATTATGTATGTGATTATCAGGTCGGGCTGCAGCGTGGTCTTGGTCTCCGGTGCTGGGCGGAGAAAACCCATGTTGAGAGGAAACTAGTGGTCATCGTGTGCGCTCTGTCCGTGGCCCTGTTCATCTGCATCGTGTCTTTGGGTCTGCGCTATAAAGGATGTGAGTGACTAGATCCTTTCAGTGTATGACAAATATTACATAAACGTGGTGTTAGGATTTTTTAAGGCATAACCAAAAAAACAAAAAAACAAAACAGTATGTATTACTTTATATAAGTATATTTTAATTAATTTTTTATAATAATAATATAACACTGTGTATACTGTGTATATAATATTATTTGAAAAAGTCAGCTTTCCGTGCAAACCTGTGGTTGTTATGAGATAAATAGTACTTCCTGTTTTATTTATCAGAGTACAATTTTTTTTTATATGTAGGCCTACTAGGACTCTATATGCTCTGGACCTCATATAAGAAGCATTTACTCACTTTTATTGCAGCTCAAAGTTATTATTTTCAAGTGAACTGAATGCCAATTCCTGCTATTCAGTCATCCACTGTTGCCCAAGCATAACAAATCGCTGTATAAAAGAACAACGACTTTTTGCCAGACTGTTTACCTCTTATTTCCTCATCCTCTGTCAGGCCTATAGATTGTTGGCCTTATCTCTCCAGATTAGGAGCTAGGGACACATCTTTTTGGGCCAAATATTTTTTTCTTAGAAGTGCTTACAATGAATCTGTTGTAGCTGCATTCTCCACAAGCCAAATAAAATCGGTGCAAAATTATTTTCAATATTACACTTAATAGTTGCATAACCTCATACAGTGGACTCATGCCCAGTCTCAAAGCCAAAGTGAAAACAAAGTAGTGCATACATTGTTTTCTTAACATATCCGGGGACACACACACACACACAAGCAAAATACCATTTCACAATTAAAGCGTGACTATTGGTGGTTGCAAATGACTTATTGCTATACAGACAAAAACATTTACCATAACAGCTTGCATTTCACCCTGGTGTGCTAATAAATTGTTAGTTTTCAATGTCTTTTTTTTTTTACAGTTAGATTTAGTATTTTTATAAAGAGAAAATACAATAGTGTGATCTCCTGGGTTTAATCCAGTGGTTCTCAACCTCTCCTGCAGGGACCCCCTGACACACCATGTTTCTGTTTTAACCCTGAAATGGCACACCTGATTCAATTAATTAAAGGCTTAATGAGTCATTATTAGAGTAGGAAGTAGGAATTAGTTAATTGATCAATTAGTCAACTACTCATTAAGCCTTCAATTAATTGAATCAGGTGTGCCATTTCAGGGTTAAAACAGAAACATGGTGTGTCAGGGGGTCCCTGCAGGAGAGGTTGAGAACCACTGGTTTAATCGCTGTAGCTTTCACAGGTCACTGATGGAGACTCATTGCGTGGCCATTTGATCAGGATTCTGAAAAAATACGGTCCTTTTCTCAGAAACTAGTTCCAGATGGGCTCATGTCCTGGGATCTTCCTCAAAGAGACGTTCAAAGCATATTTATGATGTGCAGCTTGCATGCAGTATGAGGTACTGCACCGAAAGTGTAGCGCCCCAAAATCCCAAGCTTTAACATTTTTTGATTTACCTTTTCATGTAATTGCAGTGGAGATGTATATTTTAGTTTTATCATGCATTGAGCCAGTACTGCACTTCATTTATGATTACCCTAGTGTAAGATATGCTGAGTGAAAGAGACATCGGGAAGTCTTTCTAATCTTTTTGGCACATAAGGCATAATGTAATGGATACAGCAGTATCTTTATATACTTATATTGTTTTTAACAGCTCATCCTGGAATGTGCCTGTCAGAGCCTTGTGTTAGTGTGGCAAGTACAGTTATGGGGTCCCTCGATCGGTCGGTGGACCCCTGCCAGGATTTCTACAACTTTGCATGCGGGGGCTGGATGAGGAAAAACCCGCTGCCTGAGGGCAAGTCCCGCTGGGGTCCTTTCAGCAACCTGTGGGAACACAACATGGCCGTCATGAAGAACTTATTAGGTAAGAAACGCAGTTCAGGGAGATCATCACCACAAAGTATGGCCTGATATACTGTATATGAAACAACTTACCATTTTTACGACATCATCACGTCCTCTTATGTTCTTAATTGGTTTTTGAATCCTGGATTTACAATGGGGTCTCAGACTTTTGGGCCCTGCCTTATAAAAAAAGCAGTAATGAAGTTCCATCCTGAAAAGCTCCTACCAACTTATAGGCTTCGTTTCACTTCGCTTTAAAGGTTCTTGTCATTGAATTTTTCTCCATTTGTTGAATTCAGAGAACACCAGCATGAAGAGCCTGACCAAAGCGGAGGAAAAAGCCCAGTGGTATTACCAAGCTTGTATGAACGAGAGCAAAATCGAAGAGCTTGGGGCAAAACCACTTCAAGATCTCATCAATCAGGTGACCTTAGATACATGAACAAACCCAGTCACCTTATTTAACAATATGAAACTTTGCCTCAATGAAAACCTGCCTTTTCTCTTATTCTGGGATATAATTCTTAATAACGGAACTTTGTTTTTCCAGACAGGAGGTTGGGGCTTGAAAGACCCGTGGGAGAAAGATAACTTCCAGGAGGTTTTACGGACTGTGTCAGCCAACTTCCGAACCTCCCCCTTTTTCACTGTTTTTGTCAGCACAGACTCAAAAAGCTCCAACAGCAACATCATCCAGGTGGGAACACTTATGGATATGTTTTTTTATCACCATAACATGGATTCTTAAATGTCTAGGGGAAACTCCTCACTGTTCTAGATACCATATTATGATTTATAATAGCTGTCAGAATATATTATAGCTTGCTATTTATCTTGATGCATGTCACTGTAGCTTAGCTTGTTGATTCCCCTTTTTCCACAGGTGGATCAGTCAGGATTGGGACTTCCCTCTAGGGAATACTATCTCAATAAGACAGCCAATGAAAAGGTAAACAAAGAGACCCAATGTTGTTCATTAACGTTGGTAGTGTTTTGCCGTGGTCAACAGCTTGTGTTGTTATTCCTTCTTTAGTATTTAAAAGCATATTTGAACTTCTTGGTGGAGCTCGGGATTCTTTTGGGCGGATCAGAGGAGACCTCTCAAAAGATGATGCTGGAGATCATAGACTTTGAAACGGCTCTGGCAAACATCACGGTCCCTCAGGAAAATCGACGTGACGAGATGAAAATTTACCATAAAATCCAAGTCAAAGAGTTAGCTGTGAGTACTGCGTGGTTACTCTACTACTGAAATCTGTGGTCCTTTACTGGTGGGTCATGACCCAAAAATGGTCACAGGTCTGTTCTGATAGGGTCGTAAATGGAAAGGCTAATAATTAAATGCATAGTAATGATTGAAAAATATTACAATGGAGGACAAAATATTTTCCATAATTTTGCTGTTGCAGACTAAACTCTTGTCACTTGGTTAAATTAGCCGGATGCTAACATGAGCAGGTTGCCTGACAATGGATAAACATTTATATTGACTACAAATTGTTTTGTACAGAAAAATGATTGTGATAAATTAAATTATTACTGATAATTATAAGTTATCAGTGTTTCTGTTCAGCATCTACTACCATTTCAAAGTTAGTTTTTTTCATGTTTTTGAAAGTAGTCTCTCGTGTAAAACAATCAAACATACTGTAAATCAGTATTACTGTGAAATATTATTACAATTTAAATTAACTTGTTTCTGTTGTAATATATTTTAAAATGTAATTTATTCCTGTAATGGCAAAGCTGAATTTTCAGCATCATTATTCCAGTCTTCAGTGTCACACATTTGCTACTCAAGAAACATTTGTGCTGTATACCATGAGGCATTTTTTTTTCAGAATAGAATTCAGTATTTATTTGAAATAGATTTTTTGTAACAAAGTCTTTACTGCATTTTTGATCAATTTAATACAACCTTGCTGAATAACGTATTCATTTCTTAAATAAATAAAAAATCATACTGACCCAAAACTTTTTAACAGTAGTATATGTCATGTTAGTAATGTTTCATATGGTTGTGATTGTGAAGTTGTTATGGTGTCCAGTTAAAAATCGGGGTCCTCCTGAAACAAAACCGGTTGAGAACCACTCAACATGTTCTCAAATATTGTGATTATTAAAATGGGAGAAACAATTTCAGAACATTTCCTTTGCTGACGACATATAAAGGATTCTTTCATAAGTCAAATTATGTTTTTGCATGTGTTTGTGTCTGTGCTTTAGACGTTGGCACCGGCAGTGGACTGGATTCCTTTCCTCTCTGCAGTGTTCGCCCCTGTTGCCCTAAATGACTCTGAACCGGTGGTTGTATACGCTAAAGAATACCTCCAGAAAGTCTCTGAGCTCATCAGCAACGCCAACAAGAGGTAAACCAACATTAGCCAGAGTTAGCCAGCTAGGCTGTGTGGGTTTGTGGGCGAGACCATTACCCCTTTTCCAACAGAATTGTTCGGAGCCAGAGCCTGTTCTCGGTCAGGAGCCTATCGCAAACCGGATTCTAGTAAACCGGCAGCTTGCATAAACTCCCGGTACTCTCATCTGGCCTTTTCGGAGATACATTGAAACTGAAATCGTTGATTCACTCTCTCTCTCGCACGTTGGGTCTCTTTCGCGACCATAGTTTTATATTTAGATATAAAGAGTAATGTTATTCGATTGCTCAACTATACAGCGGCAGCACTTCACCGACCCGTAAACCCGCACCGGAACCGTGTTGGTGGAAAATGGGTAGTATGTACAGACCTCTAGAAAAATCACATTTTCCTTTGTGAAATTGTCTGTTAGCTCAGATCAAAGCTAATGTGTCTCCCCCAGTGTCTTGAATAACTACATGATCATGAAAGTGGTGCGGAAAATGGTGTCCATCTTAGACCAGAGGTTCCAAGATGCGGAGCAGCGCTTCCTTGAAGTCATGTACGGCACCAAGAAGGTGAGAAACAAAGATCAAAGCTGCCATCTGTCAGCCCAAGGCACCGCTGATCCTTCAAATATCAAATAACAATAAGTCATGTTTTTCACATTTACTTTTCTTTTTCTGTTTCCCTACCTATCATACATGATTTCATTTTCCTATAGTTGAGATTTAAAGGATATTATTAATTTTATTGAAAGTTAAAAGAAATAGTTCATCCCAAATTTTGTTATCATTTACTCTGCCTCATGTCATTCTAAAACCATGTGACCTTCTGGACATAATCATACTAATACATACAAACTAGAAAGAGCACAATAAAATATCATAAAAGCGGTCCATAAGACCATGCTCTGTGTTTTAAGTCTTCTGAACCCAACATCTGTCATCTATCTATGATTTGACAGAATCCAAATGACATTGATTGCCATCAAAATTAATAGTTTTATTCAGCAAGGACCCTCATATTGGTCAAAAGTGACAGTAAATACTTTTATTAAAAAAAAAATTCAAATAAATGCTGCTTTTCTATTTATAAAAAAATAGAATGTATCAAAGTTTCCACTTTTTTTTTTAGCAGCACAATTGTTTTCAGCATTGACGATAATAAGAAATGTATCTAAAGCACCAAATCATTCAAATGATTTCTGAAGGATCATGTGACACTGAAGACAGGGTGACAGAGCCTCTGCAGTAACTGGGCCCGGGTTATGGAACGAATTGCCGTCATCTATCAAAACAGCGTCCACAGTGTCTGAGTTTAGAAGTCTTTTGAAAACATATTTATACTCTTGTCATAAACATATTTAGCACTTTGATCAACCAAGGTTGTTTTAAATGTGCTTTATAAATAAATTAAACTTGAAACTTGAAGACTGTAATAATGATGCTGAAATAATTACAGGAATAAATTACATTTAAATTATATTAAATTAAAAAATATTTATTTTAAATTGCATTAATGTTTCACAATATTACTGTTTTTACTGTATTTTGATCGTAAATGGTGAGCATAAAAAAACATTACAAAATTGTACATACCCCAAACTTTTGAATGGTAGTGTAGTTGTATGAAATATATTTGGTGTGGTGCTTTTAATTATTTATTGAGCCTGACTGACAGTATACACCATACAGTTCATATATAGAAGAGAACATATATTGGATATCGTGTAATAATAATAATAATAATAATAATACAGGATTAGAAACACTTGGACTGAGTAAAGATAAGTAAATATTATTCATTTTGGGGGGTGAACTATTCCCCTACACTGATTCTTCCTCTTCCAAGGATCATTTGATGCAAAAATAATTTTATATTCAAAAACGAAATTACCCAAATATTAAACTAGTCTGTGTGCTCAGTCAGTATGAAAGGCAAAAGAGGAAAATGTGATCAGTTGCCCTTGTCCTCTCTCCTCTGCTCTCCCGTCTTTTCATTTTCTCTACTGGTATGAGAGTTGGTGTGTATGGAGAGGCGGTGTGTTGTTCTGCAGGGAGCCTGGTTATATAGACTCTTATCAGGAGGAGATCCTGTTGCCCTGGCCTCACTTTCCGCTGGGGTCAGGCTGAAATAACAAATGAAAGACTGAGCCTTGGGCGATGTGTGTATGTGTGTATGCGTGATGGGTTATGATAAGAGATAAAGAGAGGGTCCATAAGGACGGTCACCTTCAGCACAACTTAGCATTTTAGTGTCGCTATAGCTTTTATTATTGCATTTAAATGGATATTTCAACCAAAAATGAAACTTCCTGTCATCATTTACTCAACTTCATGCCATTCCAAACCTGTAGGACTTTCTTATTATGTTCTGTAGGAACATAAATGTTGACTCCGCTTTCTGTCATGCAATGAAAGTGAAATATGACATGGAGCTGTCAAAGCCCAAAAATTACCATAAACGTATTGTTAAAGTAATCCATGTAATGTCTGTGCTGGATTCCAAAGCTCCTGAAGTCGCATGGCAGCTTAAAATGCCAAAAAATAAGCCATTATTCACTGATAATCTTCACATCTGCTGTCATCATTTATTCACCTTCTTGTCATTCCAAACCTGGATTACAGAATTTTCTTTTTTGTCTGAACTATCCCTTTAAAGTTACTATAATATGACTTAAAGCAACACTAAGTAAGAAATTTTACCTTAAAATAATGTTTTCAAAATCGTTTCAGTGGTTCATCAAGTCATGACATGGTGAAATGCACTTATGCCACCGCTTTGCAGTCCTTTATCTGATATATCCACGCAGACCGGGTCGCATTTCTGTAGTGCGAATGAGGCCTAAGAAAACTACAAGTTTGACTTGCTTTAGGCAAGCGTTACAATTGCCGATAGGTGGAGCGTACTCGACAGTAGACTACAACTACACTTTCGTAAAATCATGCATCATACTCTACCTTGTCTGTGGCCATTGTTGATTCCAAAGCCAGTGCTGGATAAACAGAGAGCATGTGCGTGCGCGTGCGACAGTAGGATGCGGTAGGCTAAATTATTTACGACAGCAGTAATGGATAATTCCGCTTACAACCTGTAGGGCGACCGCAGAGGAAAGGTCACTTGGTGTTGCTTTAAATGGTTAGTTCACCCAAAAAATCTAATTCTGTCAGTAATTACTCACCCTCATGTCGTTCCAAACTCGCAAGACTTTTGTTCATCTTCGGAACACAAATTAAGATTTTTTTGGATGATATCTGAGAGCTTTCTGTCCCTTCATTGACAGCTACACAACTACCACTTTGGTCAAAAAGTTCATAACGAGTGAGTCAAACTAATCCATATGAATTGAGCGATTTAGTCCAAATTTTCTGAAGAGACTCGATTGCTTTTATATTATGAACAGATTTAATTTAGGCTTATTTAAGCGAATATAAGTGTATATATATGGTTCACGTCGAGGGTCACCCCTGGTCACCCTTCACTCTCATTGCATTTTGTTCTTTTAAATGCTGTTCTTTTGAACTTTATATTCATTCAAGAATCCTGAAAAACATGTATCATTGTTTCACAGACATTTTCATTTTCACTTAATGTCTCATTTCCTTTGAAAACCAAAACTCCATTTGACCCACAGTCTTTCATTGTGAGCTGTTAGCCGTTATCTCTAGAGCCTCCGTTTCTAAACAAGAGATGGGAAGTTGAATGGGTGACAAGACATGTCTTGTCGCTGCCCGCATATCGTCATATTCAAGGAACCTCTAAGAGAACAATGTAATGTCTTGTTTCGCTGATGAAGTGAAAAAACACTTCTGTTTACCTTGTTACATGCACATTTGTTAGTCTAAAATGTCTTGAACAAATTATTTGTGATAATTTCTTCAAATGCGAATTCCCTTATTGTGCACATGGAAACTAGACTTTGTGTAGCTGCAGAAGTTCAAGTCTGGATGTTCTGTAGATTGTTTGTGAGATGCCACATTGAGAAGATTATCGAGGATGCTAGTTGTTAATATATCACCTTTGTTTTTTCCAGAGCTGCACGCCACGCTGGAAACTTTGCGTCAGCGACACGGACAGCGCTCTGGGCTTTGCTCTCGGGGCGCTCTTTGTCAAAGCTACTTTTTCAGAAGACAGCAAAGCTTTTGTGAGTATCTTGTGATGTTTTGCATGCCATCCCTGTCTTTTCCTCCAGGCCTATAAACTATATTCTCTCCTGATGTGTCAGGTTGAAGATATGGTCTCAGAGATCAAATGGGCCTTTGAAGACAGTCTGAAGACTGTCGGATGGATGGATCCCGAGACCAAAAAAGCCGCCAAAGAAAAGGTGAGAACCGACAACACGATCCCAAACACGAACACCAATTTTAGAAATGGTGCATGTTTATCATTTTCATTATTTTTTGCCTGGTGGACTATAAAAAATGGCTAAAATATCCCATAGAGATACTTTAAAGGTTGAATATAACTAGCAGAATATCAGAGGCACTATTTTGACCAGAGTGCTCTTTTGTCCAAGAAATCAGACAAATAAATCCAATCCATTATACTGCACAAAACCCTACATAAAGGTTGTTATGCTTGTTGATGCTCTGTAATGCCACCTGGTGTTGAAGCCTAAACTACGCTCTTATAATGTCACTTAAAATATTTATTTCCTTTTTCTTATCTAGGCAGATGCAATATACAACATGGTTGGTTATCCAAAATTTATTATGAACCCCAAAGAACTGGACAAGGTGTTTAATGATGTATGTATAGAATTTGTTAATTTTTTTTTTTTGTTTTGGTTGATGGAAAAATGTCTTTAATGTTGTAAAGTGTCTGAACTAAAATCTCGGCCCCTCAAACTGTATATCAGTTTGATGTTGTTTCAGAGCTTTACTTTCAAAACGTCATGAATTATTACAACTTCTCTGCACGAGTGACGGCTGATCAGTTGAGAAAAATCCCAAACAGAGATCAGTGAGTATCAGTCCAACTCTCACACAAGAGGATGCTCTGACACACATCTCTTAAAGGGATAGTTCACCCAAAAATGAAAATTGTCATCTTTTACCAGTGTTATTTTAGTATTATTTATATACTACTATAGTATGTATTCATGTTTTAAATTGGCTTTTATTTTTATATTTTCAGTTTTCGTTTTAATTTTAGTTCATTTTTATTATAATTTTTAAAAAATATTTCTATTTAGCTTTAATTTATTTTGGTTATAGTAATTTTAGTACTTCAACTTACTGGAACTTTATTTCAGTTAGTTGCCAAGGACATCTGCATTAAAGTTTAAGTTTAAATGATTATTCTAAGATTTATTTTAATCTAATATTTATATTCTATTTCAGCTTTATTTAAATTAATGGAGACAGACTTTTTTTTTATATAGTTTTTGATTTAGTTTTTAGGTTTAGAACACTGTCATTTACTCCCCCTCATGTCTTTCCAAACCCTTGTTGACTTTTTCTTCTGTAGAAAACAAAAGAACAGTAAAAAACATTAGTCCCCATTGACTTTCATTATATGAAAAATCACTGAGACATTTTTCAAAATGCATACAGGTTTTGAACAACATGAGGGTAAGTAAATAATGGCCAAATTTGTATTTTAGTTTAAAACTACCTCAATGTCAGTTTAAGTGTATGTCAGTGAACAGTCAAGTCATTATGTTTTTCTTTCTTGCGTTTCTCTCTGCGTACAGATGGACAGGTTGTTTAAAACTACCCCAATGTCAGTTTATGTGTATGCCAGTGAACAGTCAAGTCATTATGTTTTTCTTTCTTGCTTTTCTCTCCGCGTACAGATGGAGTATGACTCCACCAACAGTTAATGCCTACTACAACCCAACAAAGAATGAGATGGTACTTCCAGCAGGCATTCTGCAGGCTCCCTTTTATAACCATGCTTGGCCAAAGTAAGAGTCTCCCACTAACAAAACCTCACCAGCTTATTTAACCTCTTGCTTGGGTTTTTAGAAAGAAGCGGACGTTACATCACTTATCTCATCCTATTGTGTATCTGTTGTTTTCTAGAGCAATGAATTTCGGTGGTATAGGAGTGGTTATGGGGCATGAGCTCACCCATGCCTTTGACGATCAAGGTAACAAAAAATGATTCTTTCAAATGACATTCAGTCACTTGCTGAAGAGTTAAGTGTGCCACTGATTCATTATTACAGAGTTACATAACCACAGGAGAAACTATATACCTGAGTGGCTGTTATGGTAATAGTGAATATGTCTCACACATCATTAAATGAGTATTAAATTACTAATAAAAAATATTAAATAAGTATTAGACCATCAAATTATGTGTCTCTCTCTATCAATCAGTTGTTAGAACCTCAGTCTAGCAAGTATTATTAGTAATTAATAATACAAATAATGTAAAAAGAATTTTTGATTTCTTATGTTATCAATACTAAAAACTTGAAAAAAAAAGTATTTCCTAGGTCAAAGTTCAGAGTAAGAGAAATGTGGTGACCATGTAAAATATTAGTCATGCTTTGTTATTTTATTAATATTGATATAAACTATATATTATATATTATATATACTAATATATATATATATATAATATATTATATATATAATATATACTATATATAATATATATAATATATAATAAATAGTATTTTTTTCATTTATAGTGTAATAATATAATTGTATTGTCCTGTATGATTTGTAATACTGTCAAATTGTTAATAAATACTTGCACCAGTTTTTATTACAGAACTATAATGCTGTAATGTTTATGTGACCATTTATCAATATGTGTGTGTTATAACACAGTGTTTTAAACATGTCCTACAGGAAGAGAGTATGATAAGGATGGGAATTTGCGTTCGTGGTGGCAAAATTCTTCAGTGGACGCTTTTAAACTCCAGACCCAGTGCATGGTGGAGCAGTACAGCAACTACAGTATATATAAAGAACCTCTGAACGGGAAACACACTTTGGGAGAAAATATTGCTGACAACGGAGGCCTGAGGGCAGCTTATAAGGTTTGTGAAGATCCTGTTGTGGAACAAGACTTTGCAGGAAGAGTTTAAATCGATTTAATTCAATCAACAGATTTGTTTGGTTCATCAGAGAGTTATAAAGAGATGAGACTCCAGTGGTTACTTTCCATCACACGACAACAGCTACGGCGAATGACGTATGAGAATCTGATACGAAAGGCATTACGATCTCTATATGTCTCTCGTTGGCGGCTTTGATAGCTTTGGGACCGTCGTGATCCTGTCTCACTGAAAAGCCTCGCAGTGCAACAGGTGGCTCGGAATGGGTCGCTCTACCTCCAGCCGCTCGGATTCTTTCCGTTGGCTGAAAAGTCATAGGTTACAGAGTAGATGAGCAAAGCATATGGCCGGAGAAGACCCTGCGTTAACCTCTCAGATGGAGAGGAAAATAACCGTTGACACGAGGGCACTGTTTATTTGTGATCTCATGCAGAATTATTAGCGGACTAATGTTATCACACTTGCTTTGCAGGCTTATGTAAACTGGATCGAGAAGAATGGTGAGGAGGCTACCCTGCCTGCCCTTGGAATGACCAATCATCAGCTGTTCTTTGTAGGATTTGCTCAGGTTTGTGCCTCAAAAATGTTTGCTTTGAATGTTATCTGTGATGTTACACTTGTTTTAATGCCCACAACCTTTGCACTTCAAAGTCTTTTTTCTCTGCTTTTGAACGATTGGTTTGCTTAGTCAAGAATCAATATTTATTTTGTTCAGTTTGATTTGAAGATTTACCTCTGTGCATAGCCTATGCTATTACTTGGACTTAATAATATTCTCCTGACGGACAAAAAAATTCTGTATTTTCATATAAAAATTGCAGACATATTTTAAAGGTGGGACCCTATGCTTTAGGGATTAGAATATCTCTATAATATTTGTTTTGATATATATATATGTCTGCAATTTTTATATGAAAATACAGAATTTTTTTGCAAGTTCTTTTTGTGGTTCACCAAAATATTTTGGGGCTCCTTTTGGCTCAATAAGCAACAAATAAAAATATTTTGGTTAACTGTAAAAAAGTGAACATAATTAGGACATTTTTCTGAAATACATTTTAACTAAAAAATGTATGAGACTATTTAAGGCATAAAATATTAATTTTTGTTTTTAATACATTACATATTATAATACATCAAACTTTTACAGCCTTTCTGTGTTAAACATAAAAATGCAACAAGAGAGCAACTTGACTGTTAACTGTAAAAAAATAAAAAAATAAAAAATAATTTTCATTACTCAAAAAAATAAAAAATAAAAAAATATATATATATATATATATATTCGTAAATGTTGAAGTTAACATTAACAAATGCTTTAGAATTATTTTTCATTATTAGGCATAAAATATTATATATAAAATATGTATGTGAACTAATTACCTGAAAAAAATACAGACTTTACAGAAAAAAATTATACGGGTATTAAAGTAACACTATGTAGTTTTTCAACCTTCATAATATATTTCCAAGACCCTTGTGATGGTACAACGACTTACAATAGGTTAAATGACACGTCTGCCATAGCCTGACGTGGTCTGTATCGCTTTTACTTGCACTATGTAACTTCAGGTTTCGGGTAGTAACCGGAGCACAAAAAGAACTACAAAATTCGACTGCTTTACGGCATACGTCACTTCCCCTCACCACTTCCTTAAAATTGTCTATGGCCATTGCAGACATCCCAAGTCTGCACTGCACATTTTCAAGAAAAATCTCTAGGAAAATTTGCTCATAACATATGATTGTTGAACATTCCGTAAGTGTTACTTGTGCTGGGATCTTCTGTTTGTCTGTAGTGTTTGTTTTCTGTTGTTTTTATGTATTTGTCTATTTTGTGTCTATGGTATATTGAGTTTTTGGTTTGTATATTATATGTTGTATGTTTATGTTATTGGGCCCCCTCCTAAAAGCTTTTAGTAGCTTCTTTGGGGTTCCCCATTTCACACGACCTACATATGACCATTGTTCCTTCTGAAATTGTGTCTGAATGATATAATTATGATGTATTTGAAATAAAAACGAAATGAAAACAAATGGAAGATTATTGTAAAATGTTTAAATTTTTAGTTTTTTACATAATGTATTTTATAATACTTCAAATCATTTTTAAACCCTGCCAATGTAAAACAATATGCAACTGCAGATAGTAACAACTAGACTGCGATGAGAAATTTAACAGCATTAAACTATTTTAAATAACATTTTGAATTAGCCCATTTTTCCGCCCTAAAAAAAATAAAAAATAAGAACTAACATTGATGGAGTAAAAACTAATGAAAATTAAACTAAATTGAAAAGATTAAAAATAAACATTTTAATAAAAAATAAAATAAAAATGATTAAAAATGTAAAACTATTAATACCCACAACACATCATGGCAGTGACTTTTATCTGTGACTTTTGCACAGACAATCAACACTATCTGGTTATGTCCTATTATGGTCTCTTTGTTTCCTTTTTTGTAGGTGTGGTGTTCAGTTCGGACACCTGAAAGCTCTCACGAGGGCGTTATCACTGACCCCCACAGTCCATCACGTTTCCGGGTCATTGGCACCGTCTCCAATTCCCATGAGTTCTCCAAGCACTTTGGCTGCAAGGCAGACTCACCCATGAACCCCAAGCAGAAGTGTGAGCTGTGGTGACAGGGACTGAACCTGGAGCTGGAGCTGGAGCGAGCAAGGTGGTGAAGCGACCGCTGTTATCACTCAAAACATGCCAAACGTCCATCTCAGGTTGCCTAATCTAGACTGCCAGATAAGGTGGTGGACTTAAAGTGGACTACATGTTTTCCAGCAATCATTTGCCTCTTAATGAGGAGTAGGTGTAAATAATGACTCCATGGACATCTATATAATGGAGTTTTATTCTTATTCAAAACACTGGAAGTTAGTGGTTAAATGTAATTGCTACTTTTGCAAATATGTTTTCAATACGTGCCTTTTTAGCAAATGCTTTTATTTTTCTAATGGGAAATAATATTTATGTCCTCTGTATTATGTTGTTGGTGTTTTTCTTTGTCTGTAATGTTTGCCAATTCTTATGCACAACACATTGTGCAATATTGTTAAATAACTTTGCTCACATTTTAATTCATGGTTAACAAGATTTATACAAGATCACATCCTATCTGTTGAATTTGCCTGTGTAATATTAACTTGAACTCAGGGCAAATGGATTTCATTATCCTTATTCCAATGTAATTCTAATGATGTTAATTGAAGAATACATGTGTGAGCAGTATGCCCACTGTTTTCATTGGATTTGTTTTTAGACCATAATACAAGAAAGTGCCTTTGAAACTATGCAAATATGAGACTCGCTGGGCAAAAGGTTTTCTTTACACACAGATTCCAACTGCCCCCTCCACAATCAAAATAAATAAGAAACGTGGGTAACAATTTACAGTAACGTTTCATTTGTTAACATTAGATTTGTGATTTACAGTTCGTCTCTCCGTCCCCCTGCAAACATGACCGACAGATGGCGCCACATTCACACATATTAATGGAAACAAAAAAGCCTGTCAAAGGTTTGCTAATGTTCGTATTATTAAGCTTATCTAAACCCACATACTCAACAACATAAGCAAGCGTATCTATTCCATACACGCTGAATTTGGCAAAAAGCCTTCATCAAACGTAAGAAATACTGCAAACAAAATCTGGGCGGAACCCTTTTTTTTTTTTTTTTTTTACAAAAGGTGAAATTGCAGACTTAAATACAGTCATCATATACTGCATATGATTCATTCATTTCTTTTATGAAGATTGATAGCTTGGAATGTAACAGAGATGCCATTCATTGTGTGAAACAGTGCAGGCATGTGGCGAGGGGCGACTGCCTTTATGACGTCACTCTCATTGGCGTATTGCGATGTCCCATTCGCGAACGAATCGTTCTTTTGCCCGAACGAGTCGTTCACAAATCGAAATGAATCATTCTGAGCGGCTGTCGAATCAACAACTCACGGACTAATTGAACCAAGAACATATTTCGAATTTGGCTGATGTGGCAAAAAGTTAATTTAGTAGCCGAATAGCTGAAATATTACAAACAAAATGTACCGGAAATATGTTTATGGCTTAATTTGTTTTACAGTTTTATCTATCTCTACACACACACACACACACACACACACACACACACACACACACACACACACACACACACACACACACACACACACACACACACACACAATAAATGAATTGGTTTATAGATTTTGCATTCAAACAAAAAGTGTTGCTGAAACTTTTTTCATTCAAGATGTAGCCTACTAAAGTCTAGTCTTCTTTAAAGTAGGCCTAAATGCAAAATATAGTGCTCAATGGCTTTATATTAACTGAACTAAATTGAAAAAAAAAAGTGAAATGAAATGTGCTGTTTTAAAGCATGAATAAACATTAGCATTTTACATACACTTTTGTTCAAATGCAAATAATCAAACAAACAATTAGGAAAAACTACTACAAAAATAAGTACATTAAAATATCCAGGGGGGTAATATATTATATATATAAAAAAGAATAATAAGAATATAATCGGGTAGAAAAATCTAAAATAAATACTTTGTAGGTCTCACAAACGTTGTCAGGGAAAACGTAATTGCGTCACGGCGTAAAATAATCACTGTATTATTTTATGAACCGCATCTTTGAAACGAACTATTCAAATGAACCGATTCGTGAAAATGAGTCGTTCTTCCGATCACTACGGAGTGGCGTAAGGTGAACGCGAGCATCTCCGAATTCACCCGACGTTAACCGAACCGTCCTTCCAGCCGGACTGCTGGAAGCAGCCGCAACAACGCCATGTTGAGTGAAGTCTCCCATCTTTATGAGAAATTCCTATAATGCGACTCGTTGATGTGATGTTACTACGCAAAGCGGAGCAAACAAACCCGGAGACTGCCATCTGAGGAGGCGAAGAACAATTCAACCGGGGAGATCCAGGGTGGCTGGAGGGGGATACAACCCCCCTGTCGTCCCCATGCGTAGAGCAGCTACAATCCCCGATTTCAAAGATAAAATGACATTTTTGTTACTAACAGCCAGATTTGAATGAAATCCATGGCATAAGGATATACACACGTCCCGGCCTTCGTAGAGAGAAGAGACGGCCAGATATTGTTGGAACGTGCGACCGTTTTCAGCTGCGTATTTTTTTGTTTTGGTTTAAATTTCTGCAATGAGTTTGCCACCGAAAGTGGTTCAGAAACCGGCCGCTGTCTCTGTTAGTGGACATGTTACCGGACCGGCACCGCCAACGCAGCTCCGCGCAGCGCTGACCTCCGTGTCGTTACCACCGGGAGTCCAGAGCGCTCCTCCGCCGTCAGCCGTGCCGCCTACCCAGTATCCTTCACTAATAACAAAGCCCCTTGTGTCCCACGCAGATTAATGGGCAAACGAGTGCAACGAATTTCGCTTTGTAATCACATAACCAGACTTGTTGTTTGTTTACATTCATGTGTAACGTTAACTGGTTATGATGACGAAATTACTAATATAAGATTGCATTAGTTCATATTAATATAATATAGCAACCGTTGCCAGGGTGATTGGTGTGTTTATCGATTACATCGAAGGGATGTAACGTTATCTACATGGTTGGTATCTGTTGGCACTTGCTTTGTTCGTTGAACTTGACAATTCCAGCTTTGTGTCCATAACAGTTTCAGATCATTCAGAATCTGTGCATGTTTTTAATAGTTACCTGCTGAATTTTCTAGTTTTGTGATCGAATGGTTTTCCTCCTAAAGGCCTCAGTGCACAAATCAAAAGAGACCAGAATGGCATATGTTGCTAGGGTGTTGTTGCTAGTTGCTAGGGCGGTACTAGGAAGTTGCTGTGGTGTTGTGAATGGCTGATCAACTGCAAGTTTAAAAAATATTATTTAAAAAAAAAAAAGATCTCTTTTCAGTGCAAGTTTATGTTTTTTCCCCGTTTATCCATCTGCCAGACAAACAACTTGTGTGATCTTAAGGTTAGTTCACACTAAAATGAAAATTCTGTCATCAGTTACTCGCCCTTATGTCCTTCCAAACCCGTAAGACTTTCGTTCATCTTCGGAACACAAATGAAGATTTTTTTTGATGAAATTTGAGAGCTTTCTGTCCCTCCATTGACAGCTACACAACTAACTTTACCACTTTGACGCTTCAAAAAATCTATAATGAGATCTTAAAACTAATCTATATGAATTGATTGGTTTAGTCCAAATTTTCTGAAGAGACATAATCACTTTATATGATGAACAGATTTGATTTAGGCTTTTATTCACATTTAAACATTCATCAGCAAACATAAACAGAAGCTCAACCGAAACTGCTGACATATGAGAACAAACCTCATTGGTTCTTGCGGAAGCTCAAACTTGCTGCGTAACACGAGAATGAACCTCATTTGTTCTCGCACGTCAAGCGAACATGCTTGAGTTTCTGTTTACCACAACTGATGTATGAGTTGATGAATGTTTATATGTGAATAAAAGCCTAAATTAAATCTGTTCATTATATAAAGTAATCGAGTGTCCTCGTAAAATTTGGACTAAACCACGCAATTCATAGTTTTACGATCTCTTTATGAACTTTTTGAAGCGTCAAAGTGGTAGTTGTGTAGGCTAGCTGTCAACGGAACGACAGAAAGCTCTCAAATTTCATCAAAAAAATCTTCATTTGTGTTCCGAAGGTGAACGAAAGTCTAATGGGTTTGTATTAATGACATGAGGGTGAGTAATTTATGACAGAATTAAAAAATTTGGGTAAACTATCCCCTTCAAGGGAAATTGACTTCATATATGTACTTTGGGATGAGCTAGTTTGTTTGCACATGCCAATCTTATTATCTAGCCTAATTCTTTGACATTCATACATTAAATGTTGCATAATGATTTCTCTGAGCCTCTATGTTTACTATTTGTAAAAAAAAAAAATCAAGAAACTACTCACTTTTTAAACTGATATGCTGTCAATCACCTACCGAGACATTTTTCCCCCCCACAACTGAATAGAAAACATCAACAGATATGAGGCTACGTCATTCTAGTCTGATTTTGAAAGTAAATCACGTCACATGAAAGTCATGTTCGCTAGTGTTGGTCAGGCTAAATATGATAGGAATTTCTGCCTGATTTGATGTAACGCGGAGTAATCGGTCAAGTAAAGGCTGTTTAGACACAGTTGAGTTAAGTAATTAAGCATTGAGCAATAGGTGTACTGCAAATCTGGGTCACCCTCTTGAGATCTTTGAGAATTTCTGTTGTTCTGCAAGTCTGAGATGATTTGGTGATTTGGTGAGGAAGATTTAAAGGTAAAGTTTTTATTTATTTTTATTTTTAACTAGTGTCACCAATGAGAATTGCACAAATAATGAAGATTTGAAAACAGGTTTCAAGGGATAGTTCCAAACTCACCCTGATGTCATTCCAAACCTGACTTTATTTCCTCTGTGGAACACATTTTGAAGAACTGGTTTTGTCCATATACTGAAAGTCAATGGCACCCACAAGTTTCAAGCTCCAAAAAGAAGATGAAGGTAGCGGTAAATTAATCCATTCAATTCGACTTTAGCATTTTGAGTACCACTGACTTCAATCAACACATCTGAAACATTCTTCGAAAAATCTTCCTTTGTGCTTAGCCAAAGAAAGAAAGCTATACAAGTTTGGAGCGACATAAGGGTGAGTCAATTATTTTTTTGGGTGAACTGTTCCTTTAATACTAAAGCAAAATGACTAATTTTAGCATTGTATCTTTATTGAATGCATCTGCCAAATAGGCCTACTTATGTAGTGGAGTGAAGCTGAAACCAACTTGATATTCCTCAGACTTCATTCAGAGCACAGATGACATCTTATTTCCCTTGCATATCAATCAATAGAGAAATAGTGCACACTATACCTCACTCTAGTCTACATACTATGTTTATTGTGTGTATTTCTGTAACCATGGATAAATGGTCAGGATGTCATCATTTGTTTGCCTTCTGCACGCACT